GTGCCTCACTGGCTGTTGACAGGAAGCTGCCCTCAGTCCCTTGCCACATGAGCCTCTCCAACAGGGCAGCTTGCTTCATCAAAGCGCACAAGTGGAGAAGGCAATGCAGTTAGCTAGCAAGAAGTAGGTCACAATCCTTCGTAATGTAATCACAGAAGTGACAGCCCATCACTTTGGCCATATTCTCTTGGTTAGAAGGACATCACTCAGAGGGAGGGGATTCCACCAGGAGGATGTGAATACCAAGAGGAGGATATGGGGGGGCCACATGAGAAGTCTGCCTCCCACAGATAGGAACAAGAATTCACCAGGGTAATCCTGTAGGCTACAGTGTGTTTTCCTTTTTTAATTTCAGTGCCTAATTAATGTCTTACAATGAAGATAATGTTAGTAGAAAATACAGGAGCAAAACAGCCCTCTTGTTGATAAACAGGACTATCTATTGCCACTATTGCTTTGAATATAACAAAACAGAACAAAGCAAACCAAATCTCGAGTTAGGAGCCGAGGTAGGGCCCTTAGAGAGCTGAGACGCAATGGGCTTAACCATGGCTGACTGGCAAAAACTCAGCTCTGACACGTAGTACTTATCTTCCCTCCCTCCCAAACCCCATTTAAATGATAGTAAATGAACATAAAAGATTTCCCATTTGACCCTGGCCATTTGGTCCAATTTGAGAGGTGGCACCTGAGAGGTAGACAAGGGAATTCAACCCATTTCTGGAAAGAGGAAAGCGGGAACCATAGCCAAGAATTCAGTGGAAGGAGCTTAGCCAAGGAGAGCTCTGGTGAGCCCAGCAGAACAGGGAAAGGCTCAGGTCTGAGAGAGGTCTCAGTGCCACGGGGTAAACACAGGAAGATTAGTTGAATGTCCATATAATGACACAATCAAGTCCCCTTTGGGACCTCTGTGTACATATTGTCAGCTGAAAGCTAACCCCTCCTCTGACCCCCGGCAGACCTATCAAAGGAAAGGGAGTTAACTGTGATGGCAGATTAACCATCTCCTCACCCTCGCCAGCCTAGCTAAAATGACAGCGAAGAAAGCTTTATATAAGTCTTGATCCACAAGGTCGAAGACACTGTAAGAGGATGCAGCAGTGCACAAGGATATTTAACAAAGTGTTCAAATGTGGAAAACAGGTGGAGGCGTATAACTGACCAAGCAGAAGTCTTAACCTAAGACACTGCAGAGGGAGATGCAGATGAGAAATGAGGAAGACCCTCTCGGAACTCTTGGAGATGAGCAGGAAGGAAGGAAGGAAGGAGGGCTGAAAACTGGGGTAGTGAAAAGCTTCTGCACAGAAGGATGGGACGCCCAGGTCCTCCCCCAGCCCCACACAGCCTAGCTGCCTCCCGTTTCCCAGCTGCAGGAGACCAGAGGCCAAGTGGAGCTCCAGGCTTGGGGACCCGAGTCAGAACAGAAGCCTAGGGGGAGGATGCATGGCTGCAAGGAGAGAAAAGGTGAAGTCAGTAGCTGGGACTCTGAGTGCCTCCTCAGCTCCTTCCGGTTGCTGGTTCCCAGGAAGCCTATAGGCAGGTGTGCCGGGGGAAGCCTACAGGCAGGTGTGCCAGGCTCAGGTATAGTCTTCCTCTCAGGTGGGGAACAGGGGATTCATCTCAGGACAGCCTGGTCACCCGAGAGAAAAGACCCCTGAACAGTGACATTTAGGGCCCCAGTGAAAAAACCCACTTGCCACCTAATCCCCTTAGAGCAAAAACCAACAGGCAAAAGATCCCCCATGTCTTCCTCTGAAATATGGAAAGCCAAAAATTTTGAGTAAGTCTTCTTTCACTCCTTCTCCATCTGTGCTCCCTCTTTCCTGTCTAATGGTTTTGCAGCTTTCTCCTCCTACCCTCCTCTAGAGCCTGATCTTTGAATGGCAGTGTGGGGCCCTGGCCTGGGGAAACCTAGGAATATCACAGACGCAGGCCAGAACCAGTGGGATGGGTTGGCTTGCTGAGTTTCTGCCTCCTTAGGCCTCCATCTTTCTCAAAGCCATAGCCAGGCACAGAGCAGTGAGAGTTTGGTTTTGTTTGTCCGCTGGTTGGCCTGATTCCATGAAACAGGAGGGAATGATGGGCTGGTGCCCGTCCCGTCCATACTGGAGCATATTTAGACCGCTTACCCCACAGCTGCTCAACTCCCAGCCACCACTGCCAGGCTCTGGCCATAGCAGACCCACAACTTCGATCTTGCTCAATGTTTTGCATTTTGTTCTGTTTTTGATCCTTGGAATTTTTTTTTTTTTGAAAAAGACTTTTTGTTTTTTGTCTTTTTGTATTTTGTGTGAAGTTATGATGTGTTTGTTTGGAGCAGAGAAGTTGATCTAGTTATGAAGTCACTGTGTCATCTTGACAGAACCCATCTTGGTTTCTAATGCTAGTTTACACCAAAAAGAACCAGGGCTCCTAGTGGAGAAGTTGATTCTAGGTTTGCGGCAAAAGAGCTAAAGCTGGGAATAGAATATCATGTAGACATCAAAGATAGCCAGAGGGGGTGACAACAGAATCAAATGGGCCAAAACTGTGACAAGCCTTAGAAAGAAAACAATGATTATTGCCACTGGGACCGATGGAGTTTGAGTTAGGCCCTGAGTCCGTTATGATGTTCAAAGGGTACAAAGAATAGAAAGTGTGCCAAAGAAGTCACGTGCACCAATCTGAGTTGGCTGATTGGTGCCTGATTCACACAACATGAACTACTGGAAAGTGGGCTTGACTGTGGTACCTGAACCAACCTCAGAATCAAGGGACCTGGATAAAAGGGTATTTAAAACGGGATTCATGGGGTAGGCGGTAGGAAAATGAGCTGAAGCAAAAACTTTGGGCGCGTTACTCAATTTCCTTCCCCAAGATAAGGCTGGGGCCTTGTTGATGCTGAGTTTGCAAGCATTCCTCTAAATGGAAGCACATAGATCTTTAGATCACAGATCTTTATGGTAAGTTTTTCTAGAAAGGTGAGGTGAGCCCCAAGGTAGAAAGGCAGTGGGGTAGCAAGAATGGAGCTTTCCAGACCCAGGGAGGTCCCATCTTATGTAAAACCCTACTGGGACCTGGAGACCCACTGGGGACCTGGAGTCACAAATGGAGTCCTATCTGTTCTTCACTTCCAAAATAATTTTGTAGCTTTGCCTAATTATATGAGGAACTTAATTAAAGCGTGTGGTGGCGGGGGCTCCCTGCCTATCTAGTTTTACTTGAAACACATGAGAGTAAGAAAAAAATTGAGGCTATAATGAAAGCAAAGAGAGGTAGTTAGAACCCCCAGGAAGAAAGAACATACGAGGAAGGACTAGCTGTCTACTTTATACTATTTAGTTCTTGAGTAGACAGTATTTATATAATCATAGTAATGTAAACCTTTTTTGTGGCTTTTCAGCTTTTCAAATAAACCTTCAGAAAAAGTACAAAAGAGTTCATTATGGTTACACAATAGAAAGTAAATGTTAAAAAAACAAAAACACTGTGATTGTGTAAAAGGACAAGATGCCTACTTAGATGGAAAAGGGAATGAAGAGCTGGGAGGGCAGACTGGGGAGCTCACAGATTCAGTTCACCAAGTGAGGTGACCAGGGATCCTGCCCATTGCTAAGGCTGGTACACCAAGAACCTACTTGAAGGGCAACTGAAGGGTAAACCAAGAACCTATTTGAAGGGTAGAATTGGTTGGGATTTTTAAAGTGTATCTAGAAGGACTCAAAAGAAACCAGCAACAACAGTTGCCTCTAGAACGTGATTAGAGTGGCTGAGGAACAAAAGAGTAAGGAGGAGCCTTTCATTGGGGACCCTTCCTATCTTTGAATTTTAAACCAGTTTAAAATTTTGAAATAAAAATGAAGGTACATCATTAACAGTACAATTTCTAGGACGACTGCCCCCTCCTAGAAAAGCAGCATCAGTGCATATGACCTGCCCAAGGGCATTCACCAAAGTTTTGCAGCCACTGGCAAACTGTTGGACACACCGCTATGCCTGTTAGGACAAAGATGGAGAGTTACAGAACCGCCATAATAGCGATGTCAGGCAGTGACGAGTTAATTAGAGGTATGTGGACGAACATGGAAAGGTGCCCCTAACATCTCCTTTAATGTGACAAATGAGTTGCTCAACATTTATAAGATTTTTGGTATATTTAGAAAGTATATGTATATACAATTTGCATATGCACACAGTATAGTCTGGAAGGACCACAGCCAACTGAGCAGCAGTGACTTCTGGGGATAAGGGCGAGAACAATGTCCACTTGGGCATGTCTTATTTGAATTTATTATGAGACGTCTGTATAATGTGTGGACTTTTGTCCATAATTTTCTCAGAGCATAGCATTGCCCTGTCACGTGAAACAAGGGTTTGAAGCTGGGGAGCGGGGCGGTGAACTCAGCGGATGAACTCCAGGGTGGAGCCCTTCTGAACAGCTCTGCTCCCCTGAGAAGCACAGTCAGGGCCAGGCTCCATCCACGACCAAGTCATTTCTGTGTCAAATGCTTCAACACCCATCAGCGTGGTGACCTGTCCCATCAGAACTCTTAAGGACAAAAAAGTAGGTGGAGAGTTCTTGTATGACCAGGAACTCAATTTCAGAGTCCCTTTTTCATCATGGAACTTAAGAATCACCAAGAAATGTTTCCTGAATGACTGACTGCCTGGGACACTCTCCAGGAATTGGTTTATGAAGTCTGTCCAACCTGCAGCCGTACCTGTTGGATGTTCTGGCCCCACAGCAACTGCGCAAAGAAACCCAGGCCTGTCAGAGGGAGGCTGAAGGCACCGAAAAAGGGTGCAGTGAGGTAACCAACCAAGGGCTGAAGCCAGTGATCCCTGGACCAGGACTCAGCCGCCCATCAGAAGTACAGCTATCTTGGTGAACGACGCACACGCTTCTCAAAACCAGTAAGGTCATGGAACTTCCGCCCCCGTCCGGGCCTGGAAGGTCTGTGGGGCCCAGAGGCCTCTTGTCAGGAAGACAGTGATTCTGGAGACAGCACACCAACACCACCCACAGCTGCTGATTGTTTATTGCACAAGAAACTGGCAATACCGAGACAAGGGGTTCGGCATTACAAAACAATCTGGTGACCAACCCAGAGCTACCGAAGGACATTCCGTACAGACACCTCAGTTATATACACGTATGTACACACACGCGCACAGGAACACACTGAACACACATGAGCCTGATGCTCCCGATCCCTGCACGGCAGCTTGCACCCCGACCCCTGACATGGTGAGACACTGCAGGGAAGCACAGCCAACAACTCCAGAGAAGAAAGAAGATTGAGCTGCAACAAGCTGAGCCACTCAAACCAGCACACCCAAAAGAGAACATGGGCTGTCCCTCCATGGGCCAGGGGGAAGGACGAGGATCTGGGAACAACAGATTGTCCTCAGAAGGCCCGTGGCCTGGGGACCCAAGAAGCTGGAGCTGGTCTGCGGCTGGTGCTCGGTGCTAGAACCCAGGGAGTTCACGACAATCACCACTCCGGCATCCCGGAGGTACGTGTTCACCTTGATCTCAGTACATGGCAGGACACCCATGGTGGAGCCTGGCAGGGGCTCCAGGAATCAAACCAGACTGTGTGCAGCAGCTCAGGGCCCTTCTGCCAGCTTCCAGGAGCATGGCTTCCTGTGTGCAGACCAAACCTCACTTCTAGGCAGAATGAACACGCGCTAGGGTGGCCAGGATGCACTTCATTCTCAACAGGGGACTAACGGGCCCGCCTGGAGGTCTAGAGCCTGGGCAAGTACATCTAGCAAAGGGAGTTCTTCTCGACCAAAGGCGGCAAGGTTGGGGTGGCACTCAGGGTACCATTCCCTTCCCTCTCTGTCAAGGCCCGGGGATGAGGCCGCTGGGAAGCTGAGCTGCTGGGTCAGTCCTGCTGAACTCACAGAACTGCCAAGCGGGTTCCTAAGAGGAGCAGCTGGTTGGAAAATTCTTGGACCAACAGTGCCGGGTCCCTCCAGGTCCCAGCAACACCTGGTGCACCACCAGCTCCTTGACAGAAAGTGACAGCAGCACACCAACAACAAAACACGAAGCAACCTTACACACAAAATGCTTCAAGTTTATGTAAAAGAGAAAAGAAAGTCTAGGTTTGCTGTTTCCACCTCCACTGACATCCAAGCAGCTGGCACAACCCTCTACTGGCTGGGAAGAACGAACTGGCCCGCCAGAGTAGAGAGGGGCCTTGCCGCTCAGTCTCCACGGCTGGAGCCCACTAGGGAAGGAAGCAAACGGCCTCGATCCAGAGCTCCGGGTGTGGGAACAGCTCCTCTCTCTCAGAACTCCATTTTATACAGATCACTGGAAAAAGTCGATTTAAAACCGAACCTCTTTTACTGGCAAAGACCCTGGGCCTTCTCAGCCCAGACAGCTCCCCCGAGGGGCCGGCCTCCTTCTCGCCTAACTACCCTGGGGCGCCTGGGGCTTCCGCTGCAGCCCTTGGGCATGGGCACCCTTGGTTGCACACTCACACACACCTAGGGTTAGTCTTAGGGGAGAAGAAGGGCAAGCTTTGCAGAGGGTCAGCCTCCCAGACTGCAATGGGCGATGAGACCAGGGTGACCAGGGGGCTTTATTTCAGACTGCCACCAGTGGGTAGGAGGGAGGGGTGGGCAGGGCCTCTTGAGGTCAGGCTCTGCTGCCACCAGCCTGATGACAGTGTGGTCCGACACAGGGCCACCATCTGTGGGGGCCTCCCGGGGGCTATGACCAGCGGCCTCTCAGGCAGGGAGGACTCATGACTACATGTGCACTGGGGGGCGAGGGAGGGAGCAGCCTCAGTCACTCCTGGCCAAAGCCCTCAGTCTCCTCAATGGCGTACAGCAGCTTCTCCTTCAGCTGTTCGTAGCTCTTGTATGGTGGGAGATCCAGACGGTTGAAGCTGTTGGGAGAGGGGAGCAGTACCGTCAGCATGGGAAGGTCAAGGCTCTAACAGCCCGGCCCCGGCCTGGCTGAGGGGATCAAGAGAATTCACACGATTGTGGCTCGGCTGCCATGCCAACCAGCTGGCGAGATGCCGAAACACGGTCCTCAAGGACCCTGCTCTCCCAGGCCTCAATGCTTCAGGCTCCTGGACCACAGAGGGGTGAGGGGAGGGAAGAATCAGGCGGGGAAAGGAGGAAATGGGTAGGAGGGCCCTCGGGGGAGCAGCTCTTTGCCTGCTGGAATACAAGCGTTTCAATATTTAATACCTGGTATGGCCATTAGGGTGCCTACCTGCTACCACAACTCCCGAAAGATCAGAGGCCCCGACAAGAGCCTTGGCACACCACAGCCCCTCCTCTCCAGCCCAACATCCCAGAGCCACATGAAAGTTGCCGGAATCAAGGCCCCGAAGCCACCCTGCCCACTGGGCTCCCCCTAGGGGCTCATCTGGTCTGTGAGGTTCCAGATACATCCCGCTAATATCAGCAGGCTCACCAGGTGTGGCTTCTGGGCAGCCAGGTTTCCTTGCCAACCTTGTCAATGCAAAACTTCTGCGGTCCATTGCTACCTGTTATTCAAAGAAAAACACACCATATATAACAGAACCGCCCCTTCCTAAGGCAAGACCCTCCGGCTCCCACCACAGATGGCTCAGCCCCCGGAAGCACAGGTCACAGCTCTTCCCCTCCTACCGACTTGCTTCCAAGAAGATACTAGGTCCTGCCTCCCCCTGGAGCTGTCCTCACCCCTACCCAAGGGTGCCCACAAGGCAAGGGAAACCTACCAATGAGTTCGGCAAATCCCCCAACAGGCAGGCGGCAGGTCCCTGTAACAAACTGCAGCAGCCGAATACTTTTCTCATTGTCCATCTCCTTCACCACCTGCAACCCCGCAAGTCAAGGCAGAGTCAGGTGACCCACCCTCCACTCCCCCACCCCTCCTCCCCAGCCCAGCACTTCGCCCTAACCTGTAACTCTCCGGTCAGCCAGGGCCCCTTTGGGGCTGAGAACACAAAGCCTGGGATGGGTGAGGGTGACAGCCTCCAACTGGGAAACCCCAAAGCCGCTCCCTCTAAGAGGTTGTGTGTGTAAAACACTCCCGCCAGTCATAGGACATCTCTGTCTGAGGGACACCTCGGGCCAAGTATTCTCTTCCCATCCAAGTTCTGTTTTTAATAATATACTAAGGACCCATTAATGGGTATAGGGTTCTTCTTGGGGAGATGAGCTATTCTGGAATTAGATAGTTGTGATGGTTGCACAATATTGTGAAAGCCACTGAAGTGTATACCTGAAAATGCTTAACATGGTGCATTTTATAGTAGGTGAATTTCACCTCAACCAAAAAAATGTACATATATGCTCTCTGTGTGTGTCTGCTATACTTCATAATGACAACAACAACTAGACCCACAAACATAAAGGAATCAATTCATTAGCGCCAGGACGATGGGCTCATTCCGTTTCTCTGACGCCAAGCACATGCTTTCCCATCCCACCTGGCTAGAAAGAAACCACACGACCTACAGGAGCATTCCTTCCTTCCTGCGGGCTCCCCTGCCAAACATCAGCGTTTAGAGCTGACCCCAGCTGACCACCGACACTCCCGTCAAATGCACTGGCCACGACCCAACTGCAACAGCTCCGTTCGTCCCAAGGTTGGGTTTCTTATCTCCTTTTGCAAGTTGGGGGAGGTGAGGAGAGTGTCAAAGATGGGGGAGCCATAACACAACAAGAGCCCATGAAATTGAGGTCTAATCAGGTCTTGTTTCCTTTGGGGGCTGCTATAACGTCCCTGCCAAAACCCTTGCCCTTACCCACCTGCCAGAACCACTGGATCTGCTTGCTGTTCTTGGTGTAGTGTCGGTAGATAGTGTTCTTCTGCCAGTCATTCATGTCTATCTCCTGCATGCCACACAGCATCAGCTGCAAAGGAGAAGGGTGTCAGCCACCCTGCGCCGGCCCCCTCCCCACCGGGACACAGAGCCTCACCCACTCACCAGAAGAAACCACCCCAAACACTGTCAACTCCTTTCGCTGGCAGTTTTAATAATGTGGATAACACAAATCTTGAACATGGATCCCCTCAAACAGGGGCCCAGGGAAGGGTGGGTGTGAGGACCCAAATCAAAGTTATTTGCCTGCTCTCGCAGTCCTGAGAGTATGGGGTTTTCCTGGGAGTTTCTGTGGGTACACAGTGAGGCTGTCAAAGGGGAGGATCACCCCAGAGGCAGAGGTTCGGGTCCCAACAACCTTAGCTCTCACCTCCAGCTCTTTCTCATCAAAGTAGCGCAACCACTCTAGGGGGGCCACCTCGTTGAAGCCATCCAGGAAGGCTTTCGTCTGCTCTTCCACGCCCCGGGTGAAACGCCAGTCGGTCAGCAGCCTAAAGCCAAAGACTGGCTATCAGTGGAGCCCGAGACCCACTCACTGCCCAGGTGCAGCTCAGAGTCTGCCACGAGGCCGTTGTCACAGGACAGCAAGGAATCAACTGAGACTCGACTTCCAGTGCAGCGAGACCCAGGCTCCTGCTGGCCCCAGAGCAGAGCCTCTTAAACCTCACGGCAACCCAGCAATGCGGAGATGGAAATATGAGTCTTTGCTTCCTCCTCCTCTTCCTCCACCCCCTCCTTTTCCTGCTCCCCTCCCACTATCGCCCACTGAGCCTCAGATGTGTGCAGGTTAAAAGACTAAACCAAGAGACCTGAAGAACCCACAAAGGCGAATGTGCGCACAAATATACGTAAGATAGTAGACTAAGCACATAGGACACAGAAATCCTTTCAGTTAGAGAAAGAAGAGGAAGACAGCTAAGTTTCGTGCCTCCAAAGAAATTCAGCCCTGCAATCTGGCAGTGTGCCACGTGGGAATAAAGAGCAACCGGGAGTTGTAACACAGGGCTTTGGGCTCTGGCAACCCCAGCTCTGGTCAGTGCGTGACCAGTCATGGGCAGCCATCTAAGGCCCATGCGAAATGGGAGGTTCTTGCCATCCCTGGTGACCTACGGGCCACGTGTGGGGCCTGGTTGAAGACAGCACGCAGAGACAAGAGCAGGACACCCTTTCTCTGCAGCCAGCTGTGTCTCTGCTCCCCTCCCCCAGCCATCCCTCTCTGCAGCATTTGGGACTCACATAATGTACTCTTCCTTGTTCTCTTCTGTCACTTGGATGCTCTCACCACCTTCCTTCAGCTCGTGGGTTGTCACCTTGCCCAAAATCTCCATGTCCTGGATGAAGTACAGCTCTAGGCCACACTCTTCTAGGTTGTTCTCTCTGGGGACATGAGAGCACAAGAGGGAAGATGTCTGTCTTAGCAGGGTCCTCCCTGGATGCTGCTTCATCACTCACTGTTAGTGCCCGTGAGGCACGAGAACTCACAGGTGGCCTGGGAAACGGAACAATAGCCCAGGCCCTCTCCCTGATGCAAGGAGAGAATTCCAGAGCTGCCCTACAGGGGACCTAGAAGCCAGGCATCTCCACCAGCACTTATACAGCCTGGGTAAGTGCTCAGGGGCCACCGGGCCGGAGAAAATAAAGGCCATTGATACCTACTCCTCAACCAGAGACCCCTCTCCTCCCAGTGTGGGACCAGGGAGGGGACTCACTTGATCCAGATGATGGAGTTGTAGAATTCGGGGTCGATGGATTCCAGGTCTTTCAGGGTTGGTCTCTTGTTGAGCATCCGCTTGTAGAAAGGGAGGGTGAAGCCTGTGTCAATGAACTTCCCGTGGTACAGAGCCTGCGAGCAGAAGGGAGGGACTCAACACCTGGGTCTGGCCTACAGGGGCACTGTCCGAGGAAGGCTCTAGGAAACTCTGTAGCAAAACCTGCTGACTGCTACCTGTCTTCTGTCCCAGAGAGCACCTGGACATCCAGCCACCCCAGGGGCCCGAACAGAGGGTCTAGGAAAGACACAATATTCTCTGTCCTGACTGGGGCCTTGGGACAGACTCTCATCCCACCCACAGACCACAGAGACTAAGCAGAGCTGGCCTGCTCAGAAACCCAGCTCCAGGCCCACCGCCGGCCCAGCACACCTGTCTGCTGAGTCCCTGCTCTAGCAAAGATGTGCCTGCCCCACACTCACAGAGAGGACTCTGTCAGCACAGCTCCAGGTGGTGGCCCTGACTCACCGACGCTCAGAGCTAGCAGCAGAGGCAGCCAAAAATAATGCAGACGCCGCTGACGGCGAGAGCTGGCGGGCCAGTGGTGAGTAATAGTCTAGGGTTTTACTGGCCTGTCCTGTCGACTGCTGGGCCAGGCGGGTCTCTAGACCTGGGAAGAATGTGCCCACTTCCTGAGCCCAACACCTTGGCCAAGTACTTCCAGACCGAGGGAAGGGGCATATTTAGTCATGGGCTCTTGGGTCCTCCTGTGAGGGGAACAGGACAGAGCACTGGGAAGGTCAGGAAAAAGTAAAGGAAAGTGAGCAGTGAAACATCTCCAACTACCAAATGTGGCAGTGGGACAGGCTCCCACAGGCTACCCCTCCTCAGTCCTGGTTCTCCACACTCATGAGACACGCAACAGGGTGCACATGACATGACCCCCTATTCACACGGTGTTCCTATTTCTAGATAAATACAGATACTGCGTGTGACCCCCTTCCCTCCTTCGCCCAGCTCCTGACAGATGCCTCCTATATCTTGCACCAGCCGGCCTACTAGGGTTCTGTTCAAAGCTAGTTCAGGTTCCAAATGCCCGTCCAGAATGCCCACATGTCAGAACACTCCCAAATGCTCCTGCCCTCGGCTTGTGACAGACAGCAGCACGCCCCCAGAGACGGGCAGCAGGAGAACAGTTAAGGTAGCTCTCAGCCTCATCGTCCCAACACACTCAACATGGTACGTGTTCAAAGTTAAGTGAAGTCGGTGACCCAGGGACCCTGGGCTTTTGCTCGACAAGTCCTACACAAATCAACATGTGGAAACCCTCGCAGTGGGCACTGAGGGGGCTCTGAACTATCTCCAGAATTCTCTCCAGCTTTCTGCATTTTTACTCAGGAGTTCTGTGAGGATGAGGGCGGGGCTGCTGTTGGTGTGTCGGGTCTGGCGTCCTCGGCTGCCCCCCTCCCTGGAGGTCTCACGGCAATAACTCTTACCATGGCAATGAATCTGCCAATAAAGCGGAAGTAAGTGAGGTGGTCGGGGTTGATGGAAGAGGCAGGGTTGATCTGCAGGCAGTAATTGTTCTTCCCAGCGTATTCAAATAAACAGTACATGGGGTTGAGCACCTCGTGGGACAGGAGGAAAAACCACTCTCTGTGAGAGAAGAGAGAGAGAAACAGAACTAATGGATCCTTCCCTGCACACCCACACTGGAGGCACGCCTCTCCTCTGCCGTCCTGTCTCAGTTAGTCTGGAGACAGGTGTGCCCAGGAGGACCAGCACCTGGGCTGATCTGTATTAACAGCTGGTCAGTGAACGGGGTGGGATCAGACCTAGGGCGAACCAGGATGACACCTGCACTTCAGGATGATGCTCAGGGAAACCTGCATGTGTGTGGTCTCCCAGGTCATGCATTCCAGGACTTTACAACCGATATTCAGATCGTCTAATGGCAAAAGGGGCACCTTGCACTCTGCAGCCACCATGCACAGTTGTGTGGGCTGTGCACTGCACAAGGGCACTATGGTAAAATATCATAGATTTGCACATTTATTATAACTACTTTCCTGCAAACAGCAGTCAAGCTCTTTCTGATAAAACGAGAATATCACAACCATTTTCCAACATGGAAAGTTGTCTTGACAAATCTTGCAAAAGTGTAAGAAAAAAAAGTGGCCACCCTGCTTCCACCCTACCTGAATAAGCAGTGTCATATGAGTACATGGGAATACATTCCTAACTCCTGGTGCACGAACTCTGTTATCTCTGCTGCCTGCAGATTATAAGCCTCGCTCCCACCAGCTATGCTTCAGGTACGTCTCTTCCTTTGCACTTTGCCCTCCCCTCACCCTGGACCCCATTACCAGACCTTTTCTCACACTTCCATACATTCATGTGAGCCAACTCCCATGCCTTAGCATCTCTTTGTACCCTAGGTACAAGCCTCAAGCCAGAATTCAGAGTCCTTTGGGGCTTGAGCTAAAGCAGCAGGAGGCCATCCCACCGGGGCCAGTCCCTGGCTGCTGGGCTGCTTGTGGCCGGCAGACGAGGAGTCCTTCGATGCAGAGGGTGCCCCGTATCCTGTCCGTGGTTCTACCCTGTGGTAGAACAGCATGACGTAACCTACCATAGGGTAAAACCACTGGCAGGACACAGAGAGACAGACACACATAGGGTGGGAGCCACACCAGAAGCCCACCAAGCAGAGTCTGGAGAGGAGGTCACCACGGTCACCACAGGAAAAAGTACAATCGATCCACCAGGGCCAACACAGAGGGCAATGCCACCAACGAACAGAGGACCAGAAGCAAGTTAACCCAACACCAAGCAAGAAGACGTCCCCACTCCATGAGAGGTGAGCGAACTGAGCGGTCCCCACAGGCTGAGACACTCCTTCTCTCTGCCGGGCCCGAAGGCTCCATTGTCCAAGGCAATATTGCACCATAGAATCTGTTAACTTTTGTTGTTGGACTACAGTGAGGGCAGGACAATGCTGCAGGCTCTTTTTAGGGTTCCATTAGCCGTTTTAATTTTTTTGACCCTGTGCACATGACATGCAGCTGAGTACTGATCAAGGCCTTTTGGATTGTGACCCCGCTTATACATGTCAGGTACACACCAAGATGCCCCACTTTACCTGTCCAGGCTGCCACAGAATAGGAGAAACCCAGGGTTGATTTTAATGGACAACCACATGTAACTGATATTTAGCTGCTGCCAATGGGTGCAGTCAGGCTGGTTGTTAAAGTATAGAAATAATGACATATTGGCTGGTGAAAGAGCCATTATCTTGAGCCCCTCCCCCAGGAGCACACAGTCTTCTCATGACCCAGTAACGAAAGGGTTAGTGCCTAGCCCAGCAAGGGACCCCAGGACCCAGCTCCAACACCACTCGGACCGGCCACATCCATGCGCACTCCTGAAGATGAGAGAGTATTGGCAATCAACCCGAGAAGGAAGAGGCAGCTTTCTGGCCACGGGCCCAGGAGCCTGGGGAAGTGAGGTGCAGTGCAGCCTTCCAGGGGCGCCAAGCTCACCTGGCAATGCCTCCGTAGTCCAGGCCCTCCTCGCCGCGCATGATGATATAGAGCCGGCGGCGCAGGTCATAGGGTTTCATGTTCATGATCTGGGGAGACAGAGCATCATGGCCAGCCTGCCACTCTCCCTCCAATGGCAGGCTGGGGGCAGATCTCCAAGGCCTGCTGTTCAGCAGAAACCACCCACCAAGGCCCATGCCTTGGAAACTCTACCGTGTGTGTTTAACAGGCCATGTAACAGAAGACAGGGCGGCGGGAGGAGCCTTCTGCCTGCCTCTGGTCTTAGACACCGTGATTATTCTCTAACCTGCTGGAAAGAATCCTCAAAAAGTGTCTGCCTGGAAACGCTGATCTTCACATGGCTGGGGAGGGCATTTGACTGAAAAGAAAAAGAAAGAAACCTTGACTCAGGCCTCAGGGGTAACTACTCAGTCTGGTCTCTTGTCTGTATGAACAGATTTCCCTATCTTCCTGGGCCTGGAGGGGAGAGCCCGGTCCCCAGAAACAGAAGCAGGCTTCCTGGAGACAATGTCAGACAACTGCTCAAGGTTGGACAAGTGACCTGCCCCCACCAGACCAGATTCCAACGCCTGAGGCTGCGCTGGGAAATCATGCTGAGAAAACCCCATAACCCCACACTCCAGGGGAGGACCTGGTACCAGAACTCACATGGCAGAGGAAACGGAACTGCTGATACTTCCACCGAAAACTTCGGTCGTAGGCACCAGGGGAACCTTGCTTTGTCCTGGGGAAAGCAAAGATGTTCTGGAATCTGTGTGATTTCTCAAAAATCAGCAATATATCTTGCTGGTCCTAAGGCGATCTGGTGCTATGTTAAAGATGAGTACAGTAAGGCATAAAGGAAAGGAAGTGGCGGCCATTAAGATCTTCCGCAGATGTGAGGAGTGAAAAGAAAAACTAGAAATAAAACCAGACTCTTTCTTGCTTTTAGGGAGAGAGACTGAGACCACTGGTGTTATTCTGAATAAACAGGATGGCCCCCTCTCTCCCTGTTCCTGCTAAAGTGACATGGAAATTGGCCACTAGAGGGCAGTAAAAGCGGCCGGACACGGATAAACGGGGCCTGTGCTAACAGGGACACTGTCGTCTTTGGAAAAGTCCTTACCCAGACTCAAACCCCGGCCGCGGGTCCTTAAAGGTGGTGGTGCGGGTATTGTGGTCCACAAAGTAGCGCACCCCCTCGCTGGTGTACTTCATCTCCCACCCTGGGGGTAGAGCTGGTTCCTGGATCATCCTGGAAACACGGGAAGAAAGGGGTCAAGGGCTGGCCTCACCTTCTGCACCTCAATGCTTAGGAGGCTGGGGTCCCGAAGTGCTCCTTTCTCTCCCTTTCACCCAGGTTCTGCAAAGTCTTTGAGTGTGGGCCTTGAGGAAATGCACCTGGTACCACCCAAGTCATAAGGACAGTTCTGCAGCTGAGAGAGGTCATTTACTGTCCCAAGGCCAAAGAATCAGCCCAAGGTGGATGACTGTGGCCTGAGTGGCCACCAGCAATCCTGAGATGCCAGCTGCCCCAGTCCCAGGCTTGCTTCTGGGGTGGGAGCAGGGGGGAGTAGTCTAAGACATTTGGGGGGTTCCTGCAACCCTTCTGAAATCATTCTGAAATCATATTATCAGCAGCCTGCACAATCAGCACAGAGACCCATCAGGCCACTGTCCATCCACCAGGAAGGTGAATTAAAAGAGCTGCTTTTAAGCTCTCATTAGGCCGACACTATACAATGAGGATCTCCGGGCACTTATTATGTGTGGCTGAAGGTTCCAGAACATTGACCATAGAAGACAAATGCAGTCCAAGGTCCCTCAGCCAATGCTGGAGCTGCACAGGGCCTGGCCCCCTCCCAGCCCGAGTCCTTACCCCTGGGTCCTAGGGTCATCCCACTGGGTAGTGCGTGTGTTATGGTTCACGTAATACACCCTTCCGTTGTCCTGTCTCTTCTCTGCCAGGGAGAAGAAAGAAAAGACGACAATCAGATTGAGACATCTTGAACCATGCCCTCTCCCCTCTGGCTCCCCCTTCCCACATGCTGGGTCTGAATTTCTGACCCTGTTCCCCCGACCTGTTGAAGAAGTTTAACCAGAGAAAGCCTGGCTCACACACATTGGTCACTGGCAGAAAGGACAAAGAGAATCTCACCCCACTGGGGAGTGGAGGCGGGACAGACACATTTCCGACTCAAGATCAAGCGCTGTCTTTGGTTGGTTGGTTTGTTGGAGGGAGGAAGGCAGTGTGGCAACGTGGAGGGGGAGCAGCCCAGCTGAAACCAGGAGCATAATTGCATCCAGCTGTGTGCAAAGTGGAGGCTTGGCCAGCCTCCCCTCAACCCTGGTCCCACCCCCGCCAAGTCTGCGACAGCTGGTCTCTGGTCCTGCAACCGCTCTGTCCACACGACGCAGGTGACCCAGGCACCCGTTGGGGGGCTTCATTTTCCTTCACACCTCTCTGATCAGCACTCAAAGCCTGCGTACACTCTACTTCATCTTTTTCCCCTGCTTATAGGCAACATTTTGTTCTAAAGCTCTCACATCCCAGCAAAACCTCTATGTTGCGGATGTGCAAATAAAGGGCTTTACACCCTTACTGTGGCACTTACAACACCCATCTTGTTCTTATACCTCAGCGTGTGCTTCCACATAGGGCAGAGTTTGGGGGAGCTCATACATTCTTTCTCTATCCCCTGGACAATCTTTGCTCTCTTTTCCTTTATCTGTGCACAGATGATGTCACCGGAGTCCTCTAGGGAGGGGGTCTGGGCTTCAAGGGGCAGACCCAACTTTACCGGGGGATTCTGGAGCTTGAAAAAGGTTGAAAGTGTCACCCCATCAGCTCTGGGTGGAAGGCAGGCAAAACTTCAACAGCAAGGCTCTGAACTCAAGACAGGTCACCTTTCCCAGGAAGTTTCTGAGCCTTCAAATCTGTTTCTGTCCTAAAAACAAATGATGCTAATGGCCTTCCCTCATTTACTATGACAGGGCAAGATTAAAGAAATAAAAATAATCAGTTCCAGAAGCTACAGGGAAACCAAAAGCTGAAAAAGAAGCAGAACTGGGGGGCCCAGCCCTCTCCCCTCAAGCATCAGGCTCCAGCATCCCTAGTATCAACCCAGGGTCTTGGTCTCTGTCTGCCTTACTTAGTATCCATTACTTGACAGACATTTTAAAAACACAAACTAAAGGAAAGAAAGAAAAACAAGGAGGTGCCTGGAATTGCTACAGAGCTCCCACCACCTCAGGACAGCTGTGGGACTGTCCCACAGAAGACAGGCTTCCCAAGAGGGATCTGAGGGGCAAGAGGGGCTGCTCTGGCCAGAAGCTTTTGCTTTGAACTAGACATCCTCCAAGTCTGCTCTGCCAAGGGCCAAAGCCAGCGCTAACCGCCGGGCTGGGGGATCTGTCCAGCTAGTCTGAGGCCTGCACCCTTGTCTCTGGCACTGCTCCCTGCATGATCCACTGGAGCTGCTTTGCTGCATACGATTTCACCGTCTGGGTGCTGGAAGAGTCCTTAAGAGCAAGTAGCACAACCTCATTTAGGAAGAAATGGACTCGGGAGCATCGGGTCACGTGGCCAGGGTCAGGGCAGCTAAGGAGATGCGCAGCTAAACATGAGCTGTCCTGACCCCTGGGCCGCTGCTCTGGAAGGATCATGGGGTCCCTCCTGGGGGAACAGAAAGGGGCACTGGACTGAGAGCAGGATCACACAGTAGACCTGACAGCAGGCTTGTGCTAAAGGCAATTCCTATTTGGCTTTGCTGCTCTTTCTGTTCAATCTTAGGTCTCCCTGGGGAGGAAGCCCTGCCTCAGCCCTGGGGAAGTGAACATAAAGCCCAAAGGATTTGATTAGCAAGGTCCCTGGCCATCAGACACACACTTTTTTTGTTGTTGTTTTTCTTTTCAGTTTCATACCATTATGGTCTTGTGAGTTTTCCTGATCATTTGTAAACAGCACTGACTCCAACCATGGCTGCTGTTCCCATCTCAAATATTTCACACTTGGCTTCTGGGAGCTGTTTACAAGTCCTTATAGCTGCTCTTACTTGGTGACCATCATTTAGCAGAATTGGTATAGAAATAAAAAACTTGACTCTACAGAGCCAGGAACAACAACTCCAGGTCCCCAGCTCTGGGTCACAGTGTCAACTGGCTGCCAAAGAGCATTACAGATTCTTATTTAATCTGATGAGTTCTCCCTGCCTGGCCAGGGATCCTATGGTTGACCCTCTCACACTTGACATGCTGCCATCTCTGAGATAGCCATGGCCTTTCATCGGCTCAGGGAGCCAGGTGGATCACCTGTGCATGAGCGATTCCCTAGCAGAAAACCAAGAACCACATGGAGGCCTCCCTAATTGATATACCCCACTAGGAGGGCTAGAAGGTCCTTGAGGTGCTCTGGAATGCAGTGGTAATTCACTAAGTGATACCCTGCAGGTCCTGGGGGGTTGGTGCAATCTCATAAATTACACCAGGGAGTATTTGCATCTGCACCAAGAGGAGCAAGCTCAAAAGCTGCACTTTTCCAGGCAGAGGCTCGTTCTATCACTGCCAGCTTCTCCATCTTCACTGGGAAGCACGCCCCCGTCCAACTCAATACCATCTGTGAACACCACCAAACCAGCATTTACTGGCTTCTGCTGGCCTAAGCAATAAATTAAGCCCGATCCATGCAGATTCCTGCAAAAACTGCCCTCTTTAGCTCCCAGGACTCTTGCCTATCGAGCAAAACCCTGACCCAGCTCAGAGAGTTACCAGATGCACTGAATCTCCCCATCCCTAATGACTCCTTTTTGCATGGCCACTCCTTCCCAGAATAGCCATAAAGCCCATCATTTCTCATAAGTCATAGATGTCCATCCCTCTAACTCATTAGTGCAAATCACACCAAGGACTTAGAATAGGTAAGAGGCAGCGGCCAGTGAATGACAAGGGGGTTATTAGCTAGCAATGATGCGCTTTCATAGCGTCACCACCGGGGGCTCAGCTCGCTTCTCTCGGGCCTCTTTCACAGCTGCGTCCCCAATAAAAAGGTGGCTTCCATTAGTCAAAACTAGGCTGGAGTCCTCCAAAGAAAGGTTTGGTAAGGTGGCTCCTTCCAACCACACGGCCACGGACCTGAAACAAATGCATGTGGGAATCAGCCAGCGTCAAAATGCCTTAGGCAGTGACAGGATGGATTGTTGGATAGACACCTTGAAAGTCAGGACCAAAATCCAGCAGTCCCACAGCCGCTCGGGAACTTCTTCCATAGGGTCACCCTCCTTCAGCTATGGCTGGTGAATGCTACAGGGGTGCAGGGGAACTCCAATACTTCCCCAACCTGCCGACTCCATCACCTGCAATTGCTCAGGCTGGGCATCCCAGAGGGTGCTGGAGAGAAGCGCAGAGAGAAACTGAAGGCAGGAGTGAGGAGGACGTGCAGGGGGAGGGCAGGGCGGTGGAGCCTCCGCTGACGGAAGAGGCCGAAGGCACAGAAGCAGAAGTCGGTACTTACCCCAGCCAGGAGGGAGGGGGCCCAGCGGGTCATGGTCAGTCGAAGCACTCGAAGACTAAACACAAGAAACACAGCAGAACACAGGTTTTAAAAAAGCCGCTGGCCCAAAATAAATGGATAAAAATAAAAACGCCAACAACTCATTTCCACATCTGGGCTCTTTGCAGAGGAGACGGTGGGCCTTAGGTGGCATCTGCTCCTCTCAAAAGTCTTTTTCAAAAAAGAAAAACTGGAAAAGGACCCTGCACACTGAGGGCCCCCATAGGTTTTAGAGAGGGTGGCGCGAGGGGGAGGAAGAGGTGTGCAGACAGAGGCAGGCCAGGGCAGCGGAGGCAGCAGGCCGGCCCCAGGCATGGCAGGAGGGCCCAGGGCAGGACAGCTGGTGAGCTCGGCCGAGGGCCTCTGTTCAGCTCCTGCTCCTGGCGGCCAAGGCGACTGAAATCACCACCACCTCCAACTTTCTCCAAGAACCACACACGGGAGGGGAAAAAATATCGCAGGCCTTTCCAATGAAATCATTCCCACAAGCCCTGCCCACGCCCAGAGCTTCCTGGCTGGGGGCTGGCCCTCCTCCCCCCACCTCCCTCCTGGGTGCACTGGGAGAGGGAGCAGCAGCGGTGTGCAGCATCAGCCCAGACTGAGGGCACATTCATGCCCCAGGCCCCTCACCTCCCCCAGGAGTGTTTTCCTTCCCTTCACAAAGCACCTTTATTCTCCTCCAGCCTGAACCTGAAGTTGCTCAGTGTTCTGTGTGCGCCTGTCGGGGGAGGTGGGGCTCAGGGTGAGGTGGCGAGAGAGAAGGGGAGACAGGAGCAAGAAGGGGGAGCTGATTCCAGGACTTCAGGGTCACTGTTTACATTAGAACCCCTCACCCCCAGCCTAATTCTGCTGCAAAGTCCCAGGGGCAGGGCTGCAATGGACCAAGAGTTCTCATATCCTGCGGGGAAGGGGGGTGCTGTCAAAAAGTCTTCATAGTTAAATAAAACAAGTATTGTTCTGCCCTCCCCCTCTCTCTCTCTCTC